ATAAAAATATCAAGAATTTTTCTGTTAAATAGTGAAGTTATTTGGAAACATTTGATCCTTCAGAGGCTTGTGTTTTAAGCTTTGCTGATGACACCATAGCAACACTTAATCTTGGGCCTATTTCTAACTGTTTAAGTCTGTGTGACAACTCTTCTCAATGTGTTGTGTTTTTCCCTCTCTCAGGTGAGAAGAACTCCTGCTTCAGGGATCATTCCTTGTAGTTCAGAATGTATTACTCTGTTTACTGTTGCTATAATAAAATACTTAAAGCTGCATACTTATTAAAAAAAATAGGGTTAGTTAGCTTACAGTTTTGGAAGGTGAAAATCCAAGATTGGGCAGTTCCATTGTTTGGGCTTCTAGTAAGGAACTCCTTGGGCTGCATTATAACAAGTAGATAAGCTAGAAGGGAACATGGTGCCCAGGGTGGTCTTGATTTTTAACAATCCAGTCTCTCAAGAGCTTACTTCTCTTTTGAGTAGAGAGTAATCTGTTAGCATAACAATACCCCTTTTGACCTAATTCCCTCCCAGTAGGGATTAACTCTTAAAGGTTCTGCCACCACTTAATAGCTTTGGGAGGTAGTCCTCTAGCACCTGTGCCTTTGGGGTACAAACCACATATCCAAACCATAGCAGAAGAGTTTTTCAATCTTGGCACTGTTGACATTTTTGGCTGGATAATTGTTTTGGGGGTTAGAGGATTGTTCTTTGTGCTGATATTTAGGAGCATCCCCTGCCTCAGTGCACTAGATGGCAGTAGCATCCCCCAAACTGACAATAAAAAATGCCTCCAAACTTGCCAAATGTTCCCTGGAGAACGTTTAAAAATAAAATCACTTTTCCTTAAGAATCATGTATCTAATTCTTTCTGGTAGTATTTATTAAATTAACACACAATTTTACATATTTATGGGCTACAGTGAGATACAGTGATCAAATGGATAATTAGCATGTCCATCACCTTAAACATTATTATTTCTTTGTGTTGGTAATATTCAAAATTCTCTTTTTTGTTATTTTGAAATATATAGCACATTATTGTCGATTGCATTCACCCTGCTGCACTATAGAACATTAAAACTATATTTTTGTATCCATTAACCAACCCTTCTCTTCCTAGCTTTTAGTAATCACTGTCCTGCCCACTGCTTCTATGAAGTTAGCTTTTTTAGTTTCCATATATTATTGAAAACATGAAATATTGGTCTTTCTGTGCCTTGCTTATTTAACACTAATGTCCTCCTTACCTGTTGCTCCAAATGACAAAATTTCATTAATTTTTATAGTTGAATAACATTTCATTATGTGTAGATACCACTTATTCAATGGTGGACACGTAGATTGATTCTATACCTTGATTGTTGTTAATATTGCTAAAATAAACAGAGCATACATATATGAAGTAATAATAGTTCATTGTGGTTTTGATTTTTTTGACTGTTGATTAGTAAAATTGAGCATTTTTTCTATTTCTGTCAACCATTTGCATGTCTTCTTTTGAGAAATGTCTAGTTATATCATTTACCATCTTTAAGTCAATTATTTTTTTTACTGCATAGTTGTTGAGAATCTTATATATATATATATATGAATATTAATCAAGCCATCTGGTAGTTTTTGCATATGCATGTTATGGATTAAGGCCTGGCTGTCCTTTATCTCAGGAATTCTGTGTCATAGTCTTCCCTGAGAACTTTAGCTCCTTGACTTCCTTGGATTCATTTCATTTCTACCTCTGTTTTCCCAACTCAGGGAGACCACTGGCAGAATTCTTCGTGGGTTCTTTCTTCTCTGATATTTTTCTGTTTCTCAGTGGTCACTGCCCTTCAATGTTTAATGTCTAGTGGTTTGTTTTTTTTTTTTTTTTAAGAAAACAATTGTCTCATTTTCCTTTTGTTTAAAAGGCGCTTTCCAGGTGGGTACTTGTAATCTTGGCCCTCATTATCGTTCTTGAAAGATACTTTTGCTGGATATAAAATGTGGGGCTGGATTTTATTTTTTCAAAGCATTTTCACAGTATTTCAACTGTTTTCTAGTTTCCATTGTTTCTGCTAGTCAAACTTTCTTTCCTTAATACTTTTTCCTTTTTTTTTTTTTTTTTTGGTCATTGGTATTCAGCTGTTTCATTATAATATTTCTGTGCATGGATTTCTTTTTATTTTTTCTGCTACCTAGAAAAATCCTTGGTTTTCTGAATCTCAGGATGTCACATTAGTTCTCAGAAATTTGTAGCCATTATTTCTAAAAATTTCATCATCTGATATTTTTCATTTTTTCCCATTGAAGCAAACTCTTATTGAACACAAAAGCATTAATTGAGCTCATTAAAATTAGGATTCTTTATTGATTGAAAAATGCCATTGAGAAAGTGAAAACAAGCTACCAAATGAGAAACTATGTTTATAGCATGTGTAATTGACAAAGATTCTAATCCAGCATATTGTAAAGAACTCTTGCAAATCAATAAGAAAAAGATAGGTGCAATGTAAAAATGGAAAAGGGCCTTGAAGGGGCATCTCACACAAGAATATATATACATGCTTAATCAATGTAGAAGAATTTTGCCTTTTGTCTCATGAGTTATTAGAAAATTTCAACCATAGGAGATGGTACACACTCAGAATGACCCAAATTTAAATTAATAATGTAGAGTGTTGAGGGATGAAAATAATGTAAAATGTTGGGGAAGAAAGTAGATTCATCTATGTTGTTAGTGGGAGTATAATTGAAAAATCGTGTCTACTGATGTTGGCTATAATTATAACCAGTGGCCTAGGCATTTCCATTCTTAAATATACGTAGTCAAAATTATATATCTATGCATCAAAAGACATTAACTATTTACAGGAATATTATTTGTAATAGTCAAGAACTGAAACAAACTATATGTCCTTCAAAAAATGTAATGGCTAAAGAACTCTGAAATAAGTATTTGGGATACTATTTTTATGAAAAATGACAACTGCCACTTATGAAAAATGAAAACTACCACCAGTAACAGCTTGGATGAATCTTACTTTACATTAGTGAAAAAATGAATCCATTCTTATAATCCTAATTTTCAAATAGAGTCATCCTTTGGGGGATAGAGAGGCATGATGAATAGTAAAACATTTAAATGGGAGCTTCTAGGGTTCACTTCATGTTTCTTTTGGGACATATTCATTTTTTAAATTCATCATCCTGTGCATTTACAAGCTTTACTTTCTGTGTTATGTTGGTACTCCATATCTGTGGGTTCTACATCTCAGATTCAACCAACCACAAAATCGAAAATATTTGAAAGAAAACATTGCATCTGTACTATACATATATAGACCTTGGTTTTTCTTATCATTTTCCCCCTAAACAATACAGTATAAAACAACCATTTACATGGATTTTCACTGTTATCAGGTGCTACTATAAGTGATCTAGAGCTGACCTAAAGTGTTTGGGAGGTTAGGTATAGGTTATATGCAGATACCACACTATTTTATGTAAGGGACTTGAGCATCTGAGGATTTTGGTATCTGAGGGGAGTCTTGACATCAATCTCCTGTGTATACTGAAGGATGACTGCATATGTAAAGAGTCACTAAAAACGTCTAATTAAAAAAGACCATTTTTACTAACTTAGGGCTTGGGTCAGTAGATAGCCAATATTAAACATATAGCCATAAAATACCTATGTGATTAAAAGTTGTGAACATTTATGAAGGCAAAGAATAAGGTGCTGAAGTGAAGAAATGGAGGGAACTGCCATTTAATATTTACACTGAATATCTGGGCCATGCCTCTATGAGAAAAAATTACTTGAGTGAAAAAAAAAATGTTGTAAGATAAGGTTGGAGAGATACACAAGACTGTTAGAAGATGTCAAAGAGTTTGATCTTCCAAGATCTGTGGGCTTAGAAGGGATATATTTCAAAATAATCAGTCTTGCTACTGTTTGAAATATGGATATGAAAATGGACCAAAGTTCAATGCTGCTGAACCATTTAGAGGCTATTGCAGTATTCCAAGCCCAAAATGATAGCATCAGTCATCTAGACTGGGGGTCGCCAATGTTTTAGGTACGAAATTATCTTTTCCAACTACTGAATTTTGCCATTATACCATGAAAGCAACCATAAATATGTAAATGAATAAGCATGACTATGTTCTAATAAAACTTTATTCACAAAAATAAAAAGTGTTGTACGAATCTCCGATATACAAAGAAGAAAATAAAATTGAGATATATTTGAGGAGTGGATTTAATAAGGTATAAGATGGGATGTTGCGAGTATAGTGAGAGGGGAGATTTCAAGGATGATTGGCAGACTTCCAGCTTGAATAAATTATGGTCAGTTATGCTGTTGATTATATTAAGAGACAAGTTAATTGAAAGTCTAAAATGCACTCATCTAAAATAGTAGTGACTTGCAAGGTTTCAGTGCTCCCCCCCCCAATCTTTGGTCTGTAAAGACAACATATCCATGCACTGTGGAGTTTTGTCCCCATACTTATCATAACTAAAGATACTTTTTATTCTTCTATACACACTTGTTACACAAAACATGAGAAAAAAAAAAGAATCACATTGATAGTTCTTTGTTTTCTGCCAACAGGAGGACAAATATTAAGAAGAAAAAATATGTAGTTTTCTCAGATTCCTTTTGGCTCACTGACTATGTATCTATAGCCTCATTTTCTCCCTTCACACACCCACTCCACCTTTGCTTCCAAGTTGCCTTCTTTGTAAGGATGAACCAGCTGTAGCTGAGCTAGAGGAAGGTGTGTGCTCATTCTTGTCCTGCATTAATGACCCTGGAGATAGAGGTGCTGCTAGGTAGTGCTGCCAGCTGCAGCTCTGCAGGTTCTGCTTACCATCCTGTTTATAAAAGACCCCTTTCAATAAGTTGCTTTGCTACCATCATGCCAAAATCATAACACTATTTCTATCTTCTTTACAGTGTGAAGTGTTTTCCTTTTTGTGTTTGATTAATGGTTTTTACCAACTTTTTAATTTTACAGGCTTTGCTCTCTGTACATGATACTGTAGCTCAAAAGAATTACGATCCTGTACTGCCTCCTATGCCTGATGATATTGA